AGTTGTACATGTGACATAACGTTCACATTCTTCTCTTATGTATATTATACCTCAATAAAATATTTAAAAGAATGTAACAGACCTACTTGTATTGATATAGAGTGTTCTTCAAAATATTAAGTGAAAAAAATCATGGTGCGGACAGTATGTATTGCATGTTACTATTTTTGTGTTAAACCACAGACAGATATAAATGCCTATACATAAATAGATGCTTTGGAAGAACACGTAAGTAACTAAAGATGCAATGGTTATTACGGGAGAGGAAGGTGTAGAACTGGAAGTTCAAAGTGAGAGAAAGACTGATTTTTCAATTTATGTATCCTTTTTTTCCAATTTTAATCTGTTACCATGCATATTTATTCATTTTACAATGACAAAATCTAATCTAGGCAGTCAAAAAGGGCTCCCTTTTCTCCCTGGGTACCAGGCTGCTACTTTGGAGCAATTTGCTGCAATTTGTGGTGTGAATCAGCACCCAGATACTTGATAGGGGGAGGCAGTGTGGTTTATCAGAAAGGAAATCAGTGGTGGTTTGCTATTGTAGAAAGTGAAAGGACATAATAAAAAGCGTATTATTTGAAATATGAAGTGGGTTTGATTCCTAAATCCATCTGTTTCTAGCTGTGTAATCTCAGTTATTTAACCTCTCTATGCCCCATCTGAAAAATGAGCATACCACTAACAGGGTTCTTACAATGATTAATAATAACATGAACACATGTAAAGCAACCAGCATAATACTTGAAACATGGTTGGCCCTCAAGGATTAATTTTGCTATTCTTCTCCAAAAATAAGTTGTCTGCAGACTGGGAAGTCAGGAGTTAAAAAACAACAGTGATTCGAAGGTAAAGATGGGCTACAAAACCAAGGAAAACACTGCCTCACCAGCAACATCAAGAGTAGGTAAGGGGACCTTAGTCTGGGAAGACAGCTCAAAACCTTGAAAAGGCACAAGGAGAGAGAAAACTGAAATGAAAAAGAGTAAGCCTGGTAGAAACAGAATAGCAAAGAAAAAAGAACAGACTTCAGAAGTTGGGGCAAGCGGTCAAAGACTGGGGAGTATAGTGACTAAACTTTGGAGCTGACAAAAAATACACTGATCGAGGAATTAGGGCACAGTTTTCTTGAGATCTCTCTCCCTACCTTTTCTGTTCTCTCTTTGTGATCAAAAATAATAATTAAGCCGATTCTTTCCCATGGCTTTACCTGAATCTCAATACAGTAAGGTCAGCATTCTCTTGAACTAACAGGAAAACTTGGCAAGGGCCTCAAAGACAACCCTGAAAGCTAGAAAGGTAGGAGAAAATATTCTCTCTGGGCGTTGCCTGGGGACTTCCAGGACAGGCTTAAAAGGCTGACAGACCAAGGCAATAGAACAGAAAACTAGCTGACACATGAAAGCATCAAGGATGACAAATCTAACTTTGAAGAATGCCACCTCATACTCCCCACTTGCCCCACAAATACCCAGTGAGCTGATAAAAAAACTTTTTCAGAGCAATATGAAGCCTACGGAGATTATTTCTGTGTAAAAAAAATTAAGACCAAGAAAATCCCCTATCAAACAAACAAAAAAGGATTAAAACAAGTTTTCTAGCATATCTTTAAAAAAGGATTCCCATGGACAGATTGAGACAGAACAGTCAAAAATTGGAGACTTCAAACCTGGCATCAGCTGTAAGAAAGATTTACTGTTGTTTTGAGATGGAGTCTCACTCTCTTCCCCAGGCTGGAGTGCAATGGTATGATCTTGGTTCACTGTAACCTCTGACTCCCAGGTTGAAGCGGATTATCCTGCCTCAGCCTCCTGAGTAGCTGGGATTACAGGCATGTGCCACCACATCCAGCTAATTTTGTATTTTTAGTAGAGATGGGATTTCACACATTAGCCAGGCTGGTCTCCAACTCCTGACCTCAGGTGATCCATCCACCTCGGCCTCCCAAAGTGCTGGGATTACAGGCGTGAACCACAGCACCTGGCTAGAAAGGGAGGTTTTTTACCTCACCATCAGATGCCAGCTTACCAATAAAATAAATTACAGGTATACCTTACAATCTGACTGTTCTTATCTACACCTAGAAACCAAAGAGACACGGATAAATTTGACATACGCCTCGTTATCCGAAACTCAGAAACTATGTATATTTGGAATAACTCTTTACTGTCTGAACTTACTGTATCCAAAATCTTTCCATCCAAATTCAGGAGCTCAACAGATTCAACGTCAAGGAATACTTAAGTGAAGCATTTGCTGTAGTAGTGAGAAATCTAAGTTCTAGAGCTTTCATGCTGCCATTGTCTAGGAATGACTACTATAAAGCAGAGAAGCACACTGGTCTCACAAAGCTTTAAAAACTCTCTCAGTCACACTTGTCAAGTTCTTTCAAAACATAAAATGAAAAAAACCCCACCACGTTCAGAAAACATCTCTAATCCAAAAAGAAAGAAAGTGGGATGGAGTGGACCTGTCATCCCACAAATCTATCATTGAGTAAAATCAGGAGCTGAGCCAACTTCACTGTGCAGTCTATAAGAAGCAATCAGGAATACTCAGCAAAGAAAGCTGGACTAATTGGCACCTCAGAAAGAAGACAAGACATAGGAAATCAACAGTTCATTCTTGAGAATCTCAGATGCAGTTAATTGACTAGCACCACTTACAGATATTGTAAAGCTAGAATCGTTATTACTAGAATTATTATTTCCTAAAAGAAAAGTGTGAGGTGACACTAAATAGTTCAAAGAGCATTTCCTGAGGTTACAGTCACTTGGATAAGCTAACAATAAAGATTTAAGACCTGCAGCATGACCATACACATTTATGTTATTCCAAGCAGCTTAGATTCAAGTTGCAAGATAGATCACAAACATTTCTCTCTACTGCTATGCTCTTCAAGCCAAACGACTGATTTGATTTCAAAAATGAAAAAGACTAGGAAGAAAGAATTCTGATTTTTAATTACCTCCAGCTTCTCTGAATAAACTATTCATCAGCATGAGAAAAGGTTTTAAACTCTGACCCTAGGCTTCTTCATATGTTAAATGGCTTAAAATGACAACCACCTTCAAAGAATGTGAGGTATCAACTAATTGTAAAAGCAAAATCTTGCCACCCTAAAGAAATCTTAATTTCATTACTTTCTTTCTTTTTTTAAATAGAATCTTGCTCTGTCATCCAGTCTGGAATGCAGAGGCGCAATCTCAGCTCACAGCAACCTCTGCCTTCTGGGTTCAAGTGATTCTCCTGCCTCAGCCTCCCTAGTAGCCGGTATTACAGGCGTGCAGCACCACGCCCAGCTAATTTTTTTAATTTTTAGTACAAACTGGTTTCACCATGTTGGCCAGGCTGGTCTCGACCTCTTGACTTCAGGTGATCCACCCGCTGTGGCCTCCCAAAGGGCTGGGATTGCAGGCGTGAGCCACTGTACTCAGCCTCGTTACTTTCATAAAACAAGTAAACAAAATACATTAATCTAGTGGAAACAGACATGCTACTAAAGAACTATCTTTGAAGTAATCATTTTAAGATGTTGCTGACCTATCAATTCTACGGTCTCAGGCATGGCAACATTGAAAAATCTCAATCCCTTGGTTAAGATTCCATTCACCATTCATTCACGCAACAGATTATGGTGCCCTTACTGTGTACATGATATATGCTAGGTGCTATAACAAAATTTAAAATCTCATTGTTGTCCTCCAGATGCTTACATTGCCCTCAAGGATGTTACATATACAATTACATAAGGCACATTGCATTATCAATGATAAAAACTGCTATGAGTTCAGAAAAAAAAACAAGCACTTCCTAAAGGAAGCAACGTCTGAACCATAAGCCTGAAAGCTGGATCAGGTTCCAATAAAGTCAGAAAAATTAAGGCTTCCAGAGAAAAGAAACAGCTCGAATACAGAAAGACAGGCATCCTTTCTCCACTTCTGTTAAGTACAGAAAATTAAGAGCACCAAATAAGTCTAATCAAATTTGAAAAGAAATATTTTGCAATTCTCTAGAAATAATTTTTTTCTTATGTACACAATCGTTAAAAAACTTAAAAAACAAATTTATTTTTTTTTGAGTCTCACTCTGTCAGCCAGGTTGGAGTGCAATGGTGCGACCACAGCTCACTGCAACCTCTACCTCCCAGGCTCAAGTAATTCTCCCCTTCAACCTGCCAAGTGGCTGGGAACACAGCGGTGCAACACCATACCTAGCTAATTTTTTGTATTTTTGGTAGAGATGGGGTTTTGTCATGTTGCCTGGGCGGGCCTCGAACTCCTGAGCTCAAGGGATCCACTCACCTCGACCTCCCAAAGTGCTGGGATTACAGGTGTGAGCCACTGTTCCTAGCACAAATCTATTTTCAAGTTTCTCAAATAACTAAGTCCATAAAATATTGCAGAGGTGTTACCTTGAAGAGCCAGAACTGTCTTTCCATAATAATTCATAAAGAAAAAAAAAGTTTCATGTTGACATGCATGTCATGCTTCCATTTAAACAGGGTTTTAAAAACAGCATGGTGGAGAAGAAAGAAAACTGGCTTTAGAATGAGACAGACTTAGGTTTTGAAACTCAGCTCTACTGCTTACTAGCAGTTTGACCTTCAAAAGTTCCTTCTCTGAAAGTCAGTTTCCTCATCTGTAAAAACGGAGACAGCTACTCTGTAAGCAACTCCGAGTAGGGACAGAATGTATATCAATGCTTATGTTAGTTTCTTTGATAAGGGAAGTAATCATTAATAATAAGCTGTTCCACAAGCTGGAATTCTACAACAAAACTAACCAATCAGTATCATACTCGATCAAAATGAGATCAGAGCATCGTGTAAACCTTCACACCTCACTACTTTATATGCTATTACATTCGCCTATAGGTACAGAGACTGTCTCCTAAACCACTGCTGAGCATGGAACAAAAGCCGTCGCCTGTGACATACTGTACCTTTTGATTTGATTTCTTTTCCCTTGAATGGTTAAAACGTGTAAGCTAACACAAACCTGTCACAGTCCGCTGGCCATCACTTAGGTTATTCCACCACTTGTTAATCTAAAACAGATGGAAAATTGCATATCACCATATGTGAGAAATTTCAGGCTACAAAAATGAAAAACCAGAAGAAAATGCCTTGCACATAAAGGAGGACTTTCTCTTCTGTAAAAATCACTGGTCGCCACAGACATAATAAATACGTACTAGAGTGGAAAAGGGATGTGTTGTCTTGTCAGGTAGCCCACATTCTCCACACAGAACCACTGGATAGCTCTGGGACCACAATTACTTCTAAACCTCAGTTTCCTGACACATTAAATGGGACAATAGATACCTAGGCAGTGTTGTCACGAGAAGTAACAATAATGTAAAGCACACTCACAGATACAGACAGGTACCAAGGATGTGATTATTCATACCAAGGTCCTATGTTTTAAAATTCTGAGAATAATGCCTACTAAACTGTACTTTTTTAAAGATCTAGTAATGGTACTGGAGTTTAGTAAAAAGAGGAGTGTCCTAATTTTTCAGGGATACATGTTGAAAATTTTATGGATGAAATATGTCTAGAATTTGCTTTACCATAATACAAGGGTGGAAATAGAAGGGAAAAAAGGGAAACAGATGAAAAACAAAATTGGCCCTTTGCTGGTAAACACTGAAGCTGGATGATAATGATTCATAATACTATTCTCTTTACTTTTGTATCTGCTTGAAATTTTCCACAATTAAAGTTTTAAAATAAAAAATATATTCTTTTTTTTTTTTTTTTTTTTGAGATGGAGTTTCACTCATGTTACCCAGGCTGGAGTGCAATGGCGCGATCTCGGCTCACCGCAACCTCCGCCTCCTGGGTTCAGGCAATTCTCCTGCCTCAGCCTCCTGAGTAGCTGGGATTACAGGCACACGCCACCATGCCCAGCTGATTTTTTGTATTTTTAGTAGAGACGGGGTTTCACCATGTTGACCAGGATGGTCTCGATCTCTTGACCTCGTGATCCACCCGCCTTGGCCTCCCAAAGTGCTGGGATTACAGGCTTGAGCCACCACGCCCGGCCATAAAAAAAATATATTCTAATGATGAAATCAAACCAAACTTTGTTCTTAAAAATAAAAATCCAAGGTAAAAGAAATTACAGATTAGTATGCATGATTCCATGTTTTCTTTTTAAGAGACAGGGTCCTCCTATGTTGCCAAGGCTGGTCTCGAACTCCTACGCCGAAGCAATCCTCACACCTTGGCCTTTCAAAGTGCTGGAATTATGGGTGTGAGCCACCACACCCGGCAGATTCCATTTCTAGAATTATAATTACACTGTGTATGAGCTCCCAGATCTTACTTCATAGAGAGTGGTACAAAAGGGGTTCCCAGGACTTTCACGTTTCCATGTTAAATTTACATGTTGTTTCAATCTTAACGGTAATAGGTTTTATACGTTAAACCTGTCATTAGTTTAATTCCATTATAAACAAATCAATCTTTAAATGAAGATTATGTATACTGTTTGTGTCATTTTTCACCACTCTCAAGAACCATCTGGGTATATCTGGATATCAAAACTTCATGTGCAGACATGTGCTGGAAACCTATAACTTTCTAAGAGTTCCAGGATAATGGAATAGGTCAGTTTTACTCTTCTCAAATGCACTGTACTGAATAAAAGTCTATTGCGAGTTATTGTCATTTTCACCTGCAAATATTATCCACTGTTCTTCTGGCATAAAGCCTCTCGAACACAGACAGGGTTCATGCTTCCTGAATGTGCCCATGCGCAAACAAGGAGGAGTGAATTCCTTTCCCTACTTAGAGAAAACTCAAACCATCATAGTAAAAAGAAAATGCAAGGCTTCCTTCCCAGGCTCTTGCTGGCGAGGACCACATTGCTCCCAGGAAAGGGAAAAGTAAAGAAGATATCAACCCACTCTCCAGATTGGAAGGGCAATTGTGTCATAAAAATCAAAAGTGCTTGAAACTACATAGGCCTGGAACCACATATTAACTACAGTCTCAGTGTTCAATATGTACTGGTAAGTAAAAGAAATAAAATATTTATATGTTTTATCTAAAAGCAAACATTTTTAAGAAATCAGTTAAGAAAGAAGTGGGCCATCAACTCACATATAAAGTAAATGAAAAGCTCTAAAAGCTCCATATTTTTTTTTCTTTGTATTTCATCTTGAGCACAGAGACACTCAACAGCTGGTATTTACCACAGGTGTGTAAATATCATGTCACTGACAAATGTCTAAAACTCCTCTTGGGGAGAGGCACGGTGGCTCACGCTTGCAGAATTCCAGCATTTTGGGAGGCCAAGGAGAAACGATCACTTGAGGCCAGGATTTTGCGACCAGCCTAGGCAACAAAGTGAGACTCCTATCTCCACAAAATATGAAATAATTGGCCCAGTGTGGTGGCACATGGCTGCAGTCCCAGCTACTTGGGAGACTGAGGCGAGAGGGCTATTCAAGCCCAGGAGTTTGAGGCTTCAGTGAGCTATGACTGCATTACTGCACTGAAGCCTAGGTGACAGAGTGAGACCCTGTCTCTTAGGAAAAAAAAAAAAAAAATCACTTGGTAACTCTCCCCCTGAGGCATGTGTATTTTGAAAAATTCTCTGCAGTTCAAATATGTACTCTAAAGCTGGGGTCTCCATGCCCCGGCTGCTGACCAGTAGTGGTCCATGGCCTGTTAGGAACCGGGCCACACATAGGGGATAAAATTACCACAGCTCTGGCTCCTGTCAGATCAGCAGCTACATTCGATGCTCATAGGAATGCAAACCCTACTGTGAGCTGCAATGTGAGGGATCTAGGCTGCACGCTCCTTGTCAGAATCTAGTGTCCGATGATCTGAGGTGGAACAGTTTAATCCCAAAACCATCTGCCCCCTGCAACCCCAACTGTGGAAAAACTGTATTGCATGAAACCAGTCCCTGGTGCCCAAAAGGTTGGGGACTGCTGCTCTAAAGTAATCCAGCAAGGTGATCCAGTACAAAAGTGGTCTTTAAACTTTAGTAGAGCCAAGACATCCTCTACACAGAAACGTTAACAACTATTAACATCAATTTTTTTTTTTTTTTTTTTTTTTGAGA